TCAAAGAGTCAAATTTAAATTTATAAAAACCACTACTACTATAATGAAGTATATAGTGAGTAGGGATCAAACCCAAGAGACCTTTGGCTTGGATTTAACTAAGACAATTGGTTTTAACAAGTGATTACCATAAGAGAGAGAGAGAGAGAATAAAATAAATGATTGATTGATTAAGCTAGTGAACAATTAAATTAAAATGCAATGAAAATAAACTAAGTTGGAGTTAAGGGTTTAAGAGATAGAAGAGAATTCTTAGGGTTTATTGGAATTACCACTAAGCTCATGCAATTAACCACTTGTTTTTCATTAATGGGGAGAACATTATTGCAACTTAAATGTAGCTTCAATCACTAAAACAACTTGCAATCAAGTATGCATGAATTATCAAATGTAAGTATGAATTGTCTGCTTAATGACATGTAAACTAGGGTGTAGAATAACCCATCAAGCCTAAGCATACTCCATCAAACTAACCAAAATTGCATCTAATGAGAACATACATTAATCAAGAGGATAATGGAATTTGCATATAATAAGTGTGAATTATCAATTCAAGCAATGAATTGTTTACCTACTGACAAGTAAACTAATTGTAGCATAACCCATCAAGATAAAGTATAACCCATCAAATTAATCAGCAATCCCATCCAATAAAACCCATGCCATGGCCATCATTAAACCCAAATAACAATGGAATCAAGTGTTGAGTATAATCCTCTAATCACACATAGACATGCAATTACATAGAGAATTAATGAAAGAATTAATCTTTAACATCTAATCAAGAGCATAACCCTAGATTAATTATACATAGACATATAATTAACATATAGAGTTAATGGAAGAATTAAAAGAACACAAGCCATGATTTGTCAAATCAAGCATGTAAATAGGAATCACAAGGCCATAGCATCAACTACAACAATATATTAATCTCCCCAAAATAGAAATACAAGGGTTTAGAAATACATAAACTTAGGGCTCAACCAAGCCCTAAGTGGAGATCTAGCCCATCATGGTTGTGGTGGTCAAGGTGTCAACAAGATCCTTTTCCATGCTTTGCTCCTTCTTCTTTTTCCTTGAAGCTCTAGAGAGATGAGTGTGTAGATGTTCTTCCCAAACCTTGTGCCTCCACTCTTTCCTCTCTTCTCACACTCCTCCCGTTCTCCAGAGAGAATATATCGATACAGACTCAAAAATAAAACTTAATTATAAAAATAATAATATTCACCTAAATAAAATAATAACTAACCCTAAACTAATGGTTCACTGGGCCTTAAGTAACAAGACCTATTAAAGCCCATACGTTACAAAAATAAGCCCAAAATAAGAAAATCCCGTAATGCTGCCAAGTGTTGGGGGATCGATCCCCAAAAGGCATTTTTAGTTCTATGAATAGTGGGGGATTGATCCCCCAGAGTTAGAAATTTCATTTAAGCCTTATTTAGCTCCATTTTGGCCCCAGGCTAATTGGTTTGCTTTTTCATCTTTGGCAACATCATCAAAGGCCCGAGATTGACCGCTTTTGAAGAATAAACACACTATACGAACAATGGGCTGCGACCTCTTTTTATCATTTTCTGAACTTTTTCTGAATGTCTTTGCTTGACTTCAAAAAGGCTTTAGTGAACCAAAATTAGTCCGTTTGAACTTTATTGACTTGAAATTGACAAAAACATAAATTAGAACTAAAACATGAAAATAAGATAGATGCAATGACTAAAATACCCTAGTTTAGGTGCTGAAATGTGCAACATTTAAGCACTTATCAATTCACCTGGAGTAAAAGAATATCAATAACTACAAAGACTAGCAGGAAGAAAAGCGGCGAAGCAGCGCCGAGCAAAATTTAATTCAGCGAATGAATTACAAGCTTCATTCGTTTCGAATTTTAATAATATCACCAGCCGTTTTGAGAGTCATCATGAGAAAATGAAGGATGCCCAAGTGGCACAAGAGGTAAGAAAAACGGAGAAAGAGAAGACGAGACAGTTAGAGATTCTAGAGAAACAGAGACTTGAAGAGAAAGAGAATATGTTAATAGATCCAAATTCGGCACCAACAGAAGCGGGGAAAACTTGGATTATTGCACGACAAAATGAGATATTGGCATCTTTGAATTCACGGTCCGCCCCAAAGTTCTCATAGGATTTTGTAATCCTTGGTTTATTTATTTTCTTATTCCAATTTAGGATATTGTATTGTTTAAGTTATTTTTAATTGTTTTATTTAATTTGTTTTTTTTATTCCATAGTTATAATATCAATCGTAATTTTTTTAATAATTTGCAAAAATATTGTTTGATTGAAAAATATTGCCGTTAGGAAATTTTTTTTAAAAAATAATAATGTTATATATATATTTTTTTGGAGAGCGAAAATTCGGAAAGCCTGATGGAGTGCATGTTTCTAGAGAGCGAAAGCTGCTGACGTAGCTCTTGGAATTGTTGATGTGACTCTTGGAATTATTGACGTGGCTCTTGAAAAAGCTGATGTGACATTTTTAGAGAGCCAAAATTTGAAGAGGTTAGTGCAGATGGCCTAAGTAGGGCCATAGAGAAAGGACTAGTGAAAAGCTAATTCCTTGTCTCCATAATCGCCCTAAAGTCAGATAAGAGGCAAAAAAACAATTCCGCTTTAACACTGGGAATATTTTGCTCAACAATCGCTTGATTGACCAGACGTCGATGCAAGCACATCACGGACCAATCCACAGTCCTAGCACACCCGCATGTAAAGCAAATAGCCGATTAACATACGCATGTCCAACGTCAGGCCCACTTAAATTTTTAGTTTTACACTTTTGTTTGCTCATATTATATATTATATAAACCATTATTATATGGTTTAAATTATTATTTTTTTATTTTATACAACGCGTGTGTGTATATATTTGAGATGGACATTTGATCAAACAATTATATTGACAAAAATGAATCTTAATTACAAAAAGTAATTGAATGTCATAAAATATCTATTAACCTTGCACTAGAATATGAATTTTACTTTTTAATTTTTTTTTTGATGATTTTCTTTAATGAAAAATATGGTGATGCATTTAATAGAAAATTTAAGTTCAAATCTTATTATTTAAGAAAGAAAAAAAAAAAAATAGAATCTTTTAACTAAATTCATAAAATTGGACCAATTTCATAAAATCCCCTAGACTTGGTGGATATTTTAGTAATTGTTTCTTTAAAGTAACGCCACTCGTTTAGTTCGTTGTTTAATTGGGTGAGTTTTTGCCCAAAAAACAAAATTGAAAAAGAGAGATCTAGTGCAAAATGTTAAAAGTCAAGAGAGTTTAATGCAATTTGCCCTTTCTCGATGCCACCTTTTTTGTTCAAGTGAAATATGTATGTGGCGAAGACAGATTGGTGACAACAATAGGTGCAAAAAGTTAATTCAAAGTTCATTTGTTTATGTGATATGATTTATGTACGTTTTGGAAGAGGTAGCAAACGTAGGAGATATATTACATCTCATAAACATATTACGCATTTGTGATAAAATTAGAAACTCTATATGTGAGAATGTAACATGTACCGTTATATTTATGTGTCAGTTTATCTCCACCAATATAAATTAATGGACTGTACGAGTTAATGTGTCCAACACATTGAACAATATCGAGTATATGTTATAAAAATTATTCTCTTCGTTCTAAAATATTTGTTCATCTTTTCATTTTGAGATGTCCTAAAAAAAACATGTCTCATTCCAAAATTAAATATACTATTTTTTATAACATTCTCAACTTATACTTTTAATTAAAGGACTGCACTAATTACGATGCACTATTTTGTCTTCTAGTAAGGGCATATTTGAAACTTCACTGTCATCGATTCAAGAAAAAACTATTAAAACTCCACTATCATAAAAAGTTGGATTTTCCATGCAGACCATGTATTTTGAGACAAAAGGAATATAGTAGATGCCATAGTAAATTCTCCTTTTAATTTGTATTTCAACAAATTATTCTTAAATCACAAATGGGAAGTTAGTGGTTCAAGTTTTCATAGAGGCATGAGTGTGTGATGTTACTACTTACATTGATTTTTTTTGATTGGACCACAAGTTTCAAATCCGGTTATTTTACTACTCATTAATTATTTCTTCTCAAGATTGCATCCATGTGAAGTCACATTTTATTGATTTGGTAAAGTCTGATCACCAAATCCGGCCCTGAGAACTTTTGGTGAAATGTTTTTATCATCTACTTATTTCTTATATATGTATATGTGTGTGTGTATATATATATATTATTTTCTAAAAGAAAAGCTTTCAAGTGATCAAACTTCAACCATGAAGTTAATCGTAAAAGATAGATTAGGCCTGATAACTATTTACAATTTATTATTTATATAAATAGATTTTGAAGAAAAACATGTTTGTTACTATTATTTTTATTTATCGATTATATAAATTCACTTATATAATTACTGTTCACATGCTAATTTTATAAATGCCCAAACGATGTTTTTGTAATATATATACATATATATAATTTTATTTTATTTTTTTGCATGAAGAAAACAGAGCTAACAGCAAAACAAATATCATCCTCTATGTCTTTAGATAATCAAGGGGGTCATACATTCTACTGAAGATCTTGATGAGCACCCTATTTGCTAAAGTTGTAATCAACCTTGTTAGAAATATCTGGGAGTCCAATGAAGAGAGAATCATATATATATATATATACACACACACACACATAGTGAGCTATATGTATAGATACATCATACACTATGTATAAGTGGCAATAGTCCAAATGGAAGTGGGTCAAAATATGAGACAAAATACTAAACAGTGGCAAACAGTGAACTTGTCTTTGTACATAAAGCCTTTATAAAAACATTTATTATTTGTTTTAAATAGTGTTGAATTTTTAAAAATAGTCTAAGGTTAACAAATATTTTTGTGTTTAATGTTTTTAAGATAAGATAAATATTTTTACGTTATTAAATAACAATGTATCTATTTATGGATAAACACAAATGACACATAAACACTGTTATGTTTAAGCTTTAAATGAACAATAAACAAAAACAGTTACCAAACAGGGCCTTAGTTACATGGTTATTTTGATGACTCTTTCTAGATTACAGGTCATTGGGCATACAAACAGTGTCGATAAAACGGCTACACCTCCTTTGTTACAACTCCGATTGATCTGAAATCAGCATCATTAGAAAGCTAACATTTGGGGTTAAAACATATTCAAAATCAAAATTTTTGGAGATCCTTAGCTCAACAGCCGAACATTTAAAGTTTCTGTTCTGGGTTTCAACGTGAAGTCTTCATTTATTAATTCATGTTGACAAGTCTTCGTGTTTGCCCAAAAGGTACGGAATTTTTTACTCCTGTTTTAGAGTATGATTTACTACAACTAATGGGGAAAAATAAAAAATTTAATTTCCGCTGCCGCGTAGACTCATTTTCCTAACAGCCAGAACGCTTCTTGTTGCGTGGCCAGTGTGGTTCCCATTGTTCAGTCCCTAGTATTTAAGGTCCACTTAAATCATAAAATCAAATGCTGCCCAAATAATCCAATACCAGTGGCAAGAGGCGCAAGAATCATCCCATCCAAAGCACCCAAAGTTCAGCTAAAACACTTTTGTCCTGTTAATCCAGGTCAATGTATAAATCTAGCCCAGTTTAAGTCCCAGTGCAAGAGAAGTTCAATCGTTCGGAAACTGCACTGTGAGTCTGCTGCATGGCATATCACAGCAGGGCATAAGAAACACTGCACCATTAAACCTAAAACAAAAGCTGACAATACAATACACAAGTCGTTACCACTATAATGAGATCTTTAACAGTCTCATCTTTGAGCAACTTGCGTTGCGTTGCAAGTCAAATTGCTCTACCTTGTGTGCTTGTCTAATGCCTGCTTTTTATTTAAAATATGGGAGGATACATACTGATTGTAACAATAAATTCAATTTTCAAAATGTCCGTGGTGGCTCAAAGTTAAATATCACATGCTTGGTATCGTGAAATGGGACTCAATAAGGGTGGAATTCAATAAGCAGTCTGGGAAAATTTTGCCAAGCAGTTTCCTTGTAACAAATCTCACTACAACACAATTCCAAGAATACCCAGGGGACAAAAAAAAATCCAAGAAAAAAATTACTGTAGTGTATAACGTGCTGGTGGAGGTAGTTTTGTGCGCGTTAAACTTGTAGATGCTCATAATAGGAATCAAATATTTAAGGAAGAACTGCTTCTAAATACTTGGGTTTACTTCTATGTACTACCCCCCAAAGCAACATTTGAAGTTGCTCTGAAACAATTCTGGTTGAGAACGAGTAGAAGTGATCTCACCTAAGTAAACACTATGTTTTGCCAAAACTTGAAGCCAAAATGTTAAATTTGCAGTAGACCTTGATTTCATGTCTGCCTCCAGAAAGATGTGCAACGGGTCATCAATAAGTCTTCTTTCTCACAACTGGTTTTCTCGCTTCTTTCTTTGCAGTTGCAGTTAACCCTGATAGGGATACTCCTATTGTGGCCTGGTAAATATCCTTTAATCTACGAGTAAAAATTGCATTGAAATAAATCATAATTATATTCTATCAAAAAATTGACAGGAGAGAGAGAGAGAGAGAGAGAGAGAGAGAGAGAGAGCATTCAGCTACCTTGGCATGCTGATAAAAAGGGCAATCACTGAAACTCCAACAATAAGAGGGTATACCGGTGCTGGAGTCAATTCCTGAAGCCGTGGAAGAGAAGATAGATATTTTACTTAACTAACAATTATGATGCTACTTGATTGCTCATAGGCAGAAAATAAACTATTTGAAACAATAGTAGATTTTCAAGATATGCATGTTGATGTCACCAAACCAGTAGCTATAAAGGTTTTGCATTGACTAAATAATAAATTAACAACCAGGACTCAACTGATTACTGCACCACCCAACAGTTTCATGATTTGGTTGAAAACATGTTATAGAAACAAACCTGTTTGTGTTGATCCTCTTCAATACTGTATCTGAGTGGGCCAACATGAATTTGGGTTTGTTTCTCTAAGTCAACCTCAATAACTTCAGATTCAAATTTGTGGGTGCTTGATGGGAGAGATGACCGAAGCTGCAAAAGGTGCTTCACCTTGGGCAAGTCCTTCACCTGGAAGAAATTCGAAAGAGGCAACGAGAAAAGAGATTCAATCTTATATGGGTCACTGGCTGATCTGATTTCCACCTGAAGATGTGAATGTAGCTCCTCAATTCTCATTCCCTCAACATGCCCACTTAAAATGGTCCTTTCTGGCTGTTCAAATACCAAAAAGTCCAATCCCCTTGTATCCTCAGATCCAACCTATTAGAATAAGTTAAACAAGCATAAATCAGAATAGGCAAAAAATTGGCAGCAATTAAGCACAAGAAAATATTCTGACGGTTTCCTCCAGGATCTGAACTTTTCATATTACAAGCTTGAGTATGACACTCTCTCTTTACACGCACACATATATGTACTTGTATAGATTGTTGGTGCACGTTCTCTCTCTCTCTCTCTATATATATATATATATGTGTGTGTGTGTGTGTGTGTGTGTGTGTGTGTGTAGCTAAATAGATTATAAGTTCTTGACAGATTTTAATTTTATTAAGAAAATTATTAAATTTCTTATTACAAAATGATTTATTGACAAGAAAAAGAAAGTTGTATATATATATATATATATATATATATATATATATATATGTAATTTTTTATACACATCAGTTCTGTCTTTCAAATTTAATTTTTTGTAATTATTTGATATATATATATATATATATATATATATATATATATTTTCCTCAAAAGGGCTTGTCTTAAAGTAAAAGGATTAATTTTACTGACACCCCCTCAGGTTTGGCCAAATATCACCCTCAAATATTTTTCAAAAATAACTATCACTCACATTACAAACTTTTGTTCTATTTTTCACTAACACCCCAACCGTTAGTTAAACAGTTCTGACACTATATAAAATGACTTAAATACCCTTTGACTTTGTCCAAACCACACTTTCGCCTAAATAATTGGATTAAAAGACTAAAATATTCCTAAAATTTTGTAAATTTACAAGTTCGGTATATATATATATATACCGAACATATATACACACATATATCTATATACACAGACATATATACAAACATATATATTCCTCTCTCTCTCTCTCCACCACTGTACCTTTCTCTCTCCACAACCACCGTTCCTCTCTCCACCACCACAACCACCATCACCGTTCCTCTCTCTCCACCACCACAACCACCATCACCGTTCCTCTCTCTCCACCACCACAACCACCATTCCTTTCTCTCCCGACCACCACCACTGATTCCATAACGGCCGCCGGAGATGCCGACTTTGTTTTGTGAAATTAGGTGATTCAATCAGTGAAAAAAAAAATTTTGGTTCAATCAAGATGTGTGTGAATGTGTATTTGATTTGATACCAAAATTAATTCTTATTTTATTTTTTTCATGTTACCTATGGCTATGGCTATCTGGGGTACTTCTTAGTTCCAGAAGTACCCATAGATCATATTTTCAGGGGCTTCAGTTTATTAGTTGTTATATTTGTGTGATAATAGTAATAGATAAATTTACCAATATTTGAATAGGAACTACTTTGAATTGGACAGTTTATTCTATTGTTGAACTTGATAATATTGTTGCCTCTTCAATGGTGTATTATTTATTTTTCTACAGTTTATAGTTTTCTAATTTCTCAGCCTTTTAATTTGAACAGGAAAAAAGAGACCACGCATGACAAGTCTTCTAAATTTTGTAATGCATGAGTTGAAAGAGGGATTTACATGGACGTATTAATTACTACTATCTAAAGTGGTATAAATTCTAGGGCGAACCTCAGGCCTGAGCTTAGTTTGACGTTTTTATTATTGATCTTGGGCTCCCCAATTGATGCCATGCCTCTAATAATCTTTCACTTCATATTATCGTGGATGTAACTTTTTTGCAAAAACACATGAATTTTTGTGATTACGAAGTCCATGATTATATATTCGTCAGATTGTGATGGTGGTGGTCCTTGTGGAGGTGGGACGACAATGGTAAAGTTGTGGAGGTGGAGTTGAGGGGTATAATGGTCATTTAAATAATTTGATATTTGGTAATAAATTCGATTAAAAAATTAGGGGTAAAATTGTCTTTTACATATTTTTAACGGAAACTGTGACGGAAAAGTGAAAATGGACCTAAGTGGTAGTTATTTTCGAAAGATGTTTGAGGGTGATATTTGGCCAAACCTGAGGGGGTGCCAGTGAAATTAACCCTAAAGTAAATTAATGGTGGCATGAATATTATTTTTTCCCTAATCAAGGGCCTCAACTATAGGAAGTGCGCTAATAAGGTCACTGTGTTGGTCTGCTGTTAATATTGCTTTGAAATGACTAATTTACTCTTAAATGTAAAAGATAAATAAATAAGAAAAAAATTAAAGAGTTGGGCAAAACGGAAAAAAATATAAATGCCTATATCCCATTTCAAGAGCGGGAAAAAAAATGTTACAGCCAAACCTCAAATCACCACTACAACAGATCACCACAAGCAATGGCAGCATCTCACCATAATCCTCACACCTCACTACCCAAATACATTAAAATTAAAATTAAATTGGTTGAAAAACTTGAATTTCACTGTGTGAGCTGCAAAAACAATAGAGGAACAGAAGACGAATAATACGATAGAGAGATAACGAAGGAGGGCAACCAAAACTTGTGAAGAAACAATGAATCGCTCTGTCTGGTGTGCAATTACAAAAATTGGGAGAAGGGAGGTGGTTAGAGAGACGGTCAATCGTACCAGAAGGTGCAGGTACAGTTGAATGACAACAACAGCTGTCCATTGGTTGGTGAATGACAATGCATCTTCATCACTCATGATTCTCCTCCTCTAGCTCTTCTTTGTCGTTGCCATGAACACTTTGGTGGTTGTTAGTTTGATCCTCTATAATTGAAGATTTCTCAACCTTCTGCACTATTCTCTAAGTGTTTTCTGCTTGGGTTCTGTTTTTCTATTCTTGAACAGTGTGTGGAACATATACAGTTAATGGAAATAGTCTACCTGCTTTTGCTACTTCTTTTCCTGTGGCTTTGCTTCTGGATTGATATTGATTTGTTTTTGCTTGAGATGTTAATCAGTTACCATGCAATGTGGGCTTAGTACAGTTTTCTCTCCATCGATGATGAATTAAAAAACTTTGGAGAAACATTTCTTATGGAATGTTTATGGAGGCCTGAACTGAAGAAAGACTTCTGATTCTTATATATTGTACAGCTTTTTTGTCTTTGCTTATTTCCTTTGGGTTTTTGGACTGAGACCGTATCTTCAAAATCTATGCGTTTATGCATCTGAAAATTCGCCTTCTCAAGTGAGTTGAACATTACATTCATTTCACTTTTGAGAGAATGGGATGGAATCATTGATAGACAAAAAACTAGTAATCCAAATTCGTGTTTATTTTGCATCTGATTTCCCAAAAAAGATAGGGATGGACAGAAAGTGATTTATTGGATTTTATTTTGTTGTTTATCTCAAAAGAAAACTTTAAGTTTGTCTTCATTATTGTTGTTCACCACCTTCAAAACACAGAAATTCAAGTCTGATACAATGGCCAACATACCAACAATCACAATTGCGGTAGCAATCCTACAATGAGGTGCGAATCAGTACCACTGGAATGATAACCTAGCTCTGCGCACTACGATTTGAGGCCACTAGGCCATGATAAAAGTCCTGTTCAATTCAAAGGGAAGAGTACTGATAGGATAACTAGGGGGAAGTTTAATGCAGGTCATGAATCAGGTTGTGGATCAAAACAAAATGACTAGTAATAAAAGGTCAACAGCAAGAATGTCATAAAACTAAAATCAAAAGGCACACAGCATACATGTGATTATTCTCTGTAAGTTTTTTTTATTCTTGTTTAACAGGGGATTGACGTAATTACGTTTGGGGGCTTTCTTGCAAAAAATGTGGTTTAGGTGAATTACTGCAAAACATAGATTAGTTCCAAGGGGGTATTTTTGCAATTTACCCTTACAGATACTATTAATAATACTCTAAGCAGAGTAGCAACCTAAGAGCAACCTCGACTTACGCATTTCCCAAAAGAAAACAATAAATAATTGCACTTCTTGCTTCCAAACGAACTTCAAAACAGCCCAACCAAATAGCCATTAGCATTACCTATTAAGCTTGTAGGCTATATTGGTTGTTTACATTGTCGAGAGGAAGTTCCAATTGCTTTTCCAGTAAGTAATATACGATGATACAGACTCAATATTTCCTGTTTCCTCAATTCCAATATTTTACTTTGAAGCTCACCTGAATTAAAAATGAAAATTCTCTTCTTTCACCCTTTCCCCCTTGACATCATGCTCTCAGTGAACTATGGGGATTTTTTACTTCCTCTGAAGTACGAAGAATACTCGTAAGATCGTCTAATGGTTAATGATACATGTCACATGTGTAAAGGGCGATCCTAATCTTCTCTCTAACATTCCATTTTTTGCATGTGCAGGGAGAATATATGTCGTGTGTGTGACAGACTTGGCCTAGGAGTGAAAAGATATATGAACAGATCATAATCAGACTGTTTTTCACTGAACTTTCTGACTAGTTCTACGTTTCGGCAGATTAATTGAACAGTCACTTTATGGTACAAAGTATCATCTGCATGATGCTATTTTTTCACCAATCTATATTTTCTTCAATTAAAAAAAAAAATAAGAAAATTGATAAGGATTTTAGCAAACCATACAGAGTAGCAAAAAGCTTCTTATGCCTGGAAAAAACATAACAAAAATTATTGCAGATAAAAAAGTTCTAATTATGGGTTCCTAATTCTCACACTCACATTTGAATGGTCAGGAAACAAACTACAGTAATTATAACTCACCGTAACAAGAAGAGATTCTGGAGAAGCGCGTTCAATTCTAGTGCTATCGAAGTCACCCTTTTTCACTACTCTGATTATATAGGTTGTCTCTGGGAGAAGTCCTCTCAGACGGTAACTTCCTGATGAATCTGTAATTGTCTCCTCATAAAAGCCTTTCGACTCTGAACGGGCTTCTACAGAAACACCTTCTTTTGGCTGGCCAGACAAGAGAGTAACTACACCCATTGCACTGTAAAGATGTCAAATCATCTTAGAGGTGGAAAAGTACCAGATATAGATCAGCACAAAACAAAATATTCATCTAAACAGAAGTGATTTATTTTAAAGAAAAAGAAACAAAGTAGAAGAATCAAATGTAAGAAAAAACACGGTTAAAATAGCTAACAATTCAAGTTACCTTTTTTACTTGGGGGTAAGGAAACAATTCAGGTAGTCCAATCCAAGTAGTCTGGACAAAAGGCTTTGTTGATAGGAGACAATTAAATGGCATAAACTTTCATGTACAAAAGCAATCGGCACAATATGGGTTATGGATGCCCAAAGATAATACATGCAAGGTCCCTTAATTGCCCAAGTACCATGAAGTATATCACCATCATAGTCATAATTGTCTTTATCTCAAACGAATGGGAGCTGATCACATGAATTCTCTTTTTCCATTCCATTCTATCATATTATATATCCCCTACAGTATTTAATATATTTTAGTCATTCTTAATTATTTCATTCAAAGATAGTTTTGGTTAGCCTCACTATCGCTTACCTTCTATGCAAACTAATTTTCCTTTTTTCACTTGTGCATCGGCAGATCTACATTATAATATGTCCAAACAATTAATAGGTGCTATTCCTAATTTCCATCTGTGATTAGTAAGCCTATGTCAATTAGTCACCCAAGTCGTTCATCTCAACATTCTCATTCTGTTTTTCCTTTTCTACTTTTTTTACCCCATAGAGCACAACACTCTTGCTCCGTAAAAGATAGTTGACCTAAAAACTGTTCTGTAAAATTATCTTTTTAACTCATTTAATATTTTTTTTACCAAAGACCACTGCCAATCTCCATTTTGTCCATCCTTCTCCCATCCTACTATTAACATCGTCATCTCTCTCCCTATCACTTTAGAGTATTGATCCTTTGTATCCAAAATTATTATCATGAAGAATTCTTTGGTTTTGAATTGTTTTTGGTTATATAATTGTTATCCGATACTTTGTTAAATTTACAACTAAAGCCTTTTTCCCAACCACTTAGAGTTGGCTACATGAATCTTATTTTTCTGTTCTTGATGTTGTGGCCTCAGTCAAATCACATACTATCATATCCTTCTGTTACGACAAACGCAACGAACCCAAGATAGAACCAAGAATCACGACAGAAAAGTAAACACACCACACAAAAAACACAGATTTATACGTGGTTTGGCAACAGACTACGTTCACGTTTGGGATCCGGCGAAAGTTTTCACTATGTGTAAAATCGGAGATTACAAGTTTTCAGCCCCGCTCTGTTTCCGTACGAATTTCAGTCTCTCTCTCTCTTACACCACTCCAAACCCTAAGCGCCCTTATTTATCGGACTACAAGAGACTAATTAGGGTCCACAACCCATGAGCAAAAAGAGGTCAAAATTTTCCAACAAGTCTTAGGGTCACAATGCTCCCCAGCACAAAATTCGGGCCACAACATCACACCTTCTTTACTAACTCTACCCACATTAACTTTGGTCTCCTTTTCCTCGAGTATTATGCTTAATGTGGACTACGCCATTCTTTTGAACTGATGCACTTAAAGGACTTCTATGCACATGGCTGAACCATTTTAACAGATTCTCTCTCATTTTATCACCAATTGGGGCTACTCCAAACATCTCACAAATGTGATCATTTCTAATTCTACGCTTTCTAATCTTACCGTACATCCAACTCAAAAATCAGATTTTCAGCCCACTCGCTTTATACCGATGTGTTAAATTTACATTCCACATAATTTGTTGTAATCTTACTAGTTCTTTTTTTTGAATAAGAGAATATTCATTGAAGAGAACCCAAAAGGGGGACGCGGCCCAAAATAATAGCACAAAACCTATAGCCTCAAGCTACCCACAAAAGAGAAAAGAACCTCATTTACAATTAGAGTCCTAAATCCAATATAATAGAAAACTAAGTACAGAAATTTTAATCACCCCCAAGGAGACTCCACCCTACCAAAGGATCTCTTAATACACTATTTCCGAAAATCCCACAACAAACATAGTGGGGATGTCCTCCTTGCATCACTAACTTGGAGACACATAGCAACCAAGCATCAATCAATCTCAGGCATGACCCACTAGATCCCAAGAAATGACACAAGGCAAATCCCAGCCATCCCTAGCTCTGGGGAAATACAAAAGAAGGTGATCCACTGACTCCTCACCTGCTTGCACAAACAACACCAATTGACAATAATCTGAAGTTTCCTTCGCCGATTGTCCCCCCCCCCCCCAAAACACACAACACCAAACAAAAAAAAAAAAAAAAAAAATCCTGACTATAAAACGAAGCCAAAAACTCAACCACCTCCCAATCATGCAAAAATCCCTCAAACTGCGCATCCCAGTATTCTTACTATTTCTTAGTCCTTTTGTTTCTTATGCATTTATCCAAGAGCACTATGTCATAGGCACACACAACATGCAGAATTGAGTGTTTTGTTTTATTAATACATAATGCTCGCTATTTAGGAAAACATAATACTTTCTCGGATTTGCCCTCCAAACTAGTAATAGATTTATGTTGGCATTTATAAGGAAAAATTATTAAAGTTTTTAAGAAATTTCTCTTGAAAGTTTCTAAAAATTATGATAAATCAATGTTAGAGTGGATCACATGAAAAACATCTAGAAGATGTATCTGCAGTCCTATATTACATAGACTCCTCAAAAGTAGTGAAGTACCCGTGTCGGACATATATTGCTTGACATGGGTATGGGATATGTATCCAACACTTTTGGTTGGACATGTACTTAAAAAGCATATCCAATCATTCAATTACATCGCATTATTACTTTAAAATGAGTAAAAAGCCTATATTGAACACTATATTACATAAAAATATTACTTTACTCTAAAAAATAAAACAAACTAATAAAATAAAAATAACATTTAACAATGTCCGCATGTCCTTCTGTTTAGAGAACCCGTTCCCGACACACGTACCCGAGTCCATGTAACATAACAGTTTGCACGGGAATATAACACATTGCTCAAACTAGATGTTGTGACTGAGAGAAGAGGAAGACTCAAGATGCTACTAGCGGGCAAGAACTTGAGAGATCAAGAGAGGACTTGCTTTCTGAGACTTTGACCATAGACAATGCCTACCACACTCACGAACTCCTCACCCTCAGAAATCATGTCAGATCGAGGACTCATCTCCTGCTAATCCAAGCACGAGCCAGCACTAAGCGTGAAGAAGGAAGATGCAACCACACAAAACTCACAAGTGGAGAGATACCAATAGGCTGGGAATTAAGGTCCAACACCAAACACACTTCATAGTGCATAAACACATCCGTAGTCTTCCATGTTTATATGTAGTTATGCTCCCGAAGCAATAGCTAGAGGTTTTTCCCACAAAACTTGCAGTATCAATCGCTCATCCTAAAAGCTTGTAGATTCGGGCTCTATGTGAGCCCACGTTCTCCTTTTGAGATGGGTCATTGATGATTATTGAATTTTATATAGGAACTACGTCAGAGTCAAGGTTCTGACAATGGTAGATACTAGATTGTAGCCATGACCACACTCATGTAAGCAACTAAGAGATCGGAACGTGAGGTTAATTTTCCACTCTTCTTATTTCAAACTATTCATATTATCTATGTTGTTAAAGTTAAATGCCGTGGAGGTCACCTTTTCCCTAATAAATCACTCCCTGAACCTCGCTCCTTAGAAGCCCAGGTTCACCCTGCATCCAGGACATGAAACTGTACCCCATTTTGCTTTGTTCAAGCATAAATAGTGATGAGCTTTGCTAAGACAGTAATGTATTGATCACTTTCTCTCACCTATTGATTCTCGCTCATTTGTTCTTTTTCTCTACAGACTAAAAAATACCAAAAAAGAAGCACTAGATACTAAACGCAGGCCCTTGGCAAGATGAAGGCCGGGAAGAATCTCTGAGAGGCTCATTTCTGCCCTCCGCAGCGCCTCAAAGTCGGATTAGGAAAAAAGACTACGGCCCTAGTGGAGCCGTAGCATCAGGAATATTTGCTTGGCTTAAGTAGGACCAGGTCCCAAAACCGGTCCTAGGCCACAGATCGGACCGAACACGGTCCTAGCATGCCCACAGGCGAGGAGCAGCCCCGACACGCTTTTCGACCAAACAAGATGACACAATGATCTGATAATAAAGAAGATCGATTACATAATTCTTATATTAGCATCATTCTAGAGAGTTTTAGAGGAGTTTCCACTTTGATCCCTTTTTCCCCATAGAAATTAGAGGATATTTTCTATATGTACTTCAAATCAACATGCGACCACTAACGTCTTGTCTTTCCAATTAACAAGGTCGAGCTTAACTTGTACGCATGCTCTGTTGGAGTCTATAACAATGCCAGTGGTGACACTTGAGCGGTTATAATGGCAACATAATTTTATTTGCCCCCCGAATATGAAAAAGCTCAAAGTAGGATGGTAACGGAATTAAAAGATTGTTGATTGACTTGATGAAAGCTGTCTTGATTATTTATACGAGTTCCAGAAAGCACCAACTCAAAGAAGATTGTTTGCAAAAATAGGAGTTGTAACACTGCAACACTTCTTAGGCAATATTTTGCCTCCTTGATGTGATTGTGTACCTTTTGTGTAGTGACGCAGCGGATCAATGAAAACAATTAAAATAATTAAGAATAACAATGTATTATTTAACCACTCAAATCCATGAGAAGAGGTTGAGAGAAGCTCTTAATTTTCTGAAATTGATAAAAGAGATAATTGATCCTAAACTATTACAATACCATGTATTTATAGGCTTAAGCAAACCCTAAATTATTAAGGAAATTAAAACAATGGAAACCTTTAAAACAGACAATGATAACTTTCTAAAACAGACCGTAAACTATTTTGGAAAGTAAAACAATGAAAATTTCCTAAAACAGACTCTTAACTATTAGGTAATTAAAACAATATGAAAATGGAAACTAGTAAAAAACTGTTCATGCACTGTTCACAGTTACTACATCATGCAGAGGAATGCTTTCATTTTTCATTCAGCTTGTTGGGTGTCCTCGAAATATTTCCTTTCCTCAACAGTAAATTATTTTTTGTTAAATTTAAAAATAAATGAATAAATCAAAATTTGGTTGTAGGACACCCTAAGAGGCTGTGAATGTTATTGTTCAAATATGTTATATAAGACGAACTAAGTCAAATTCCCAATCAGAATTCAAGAGGCATCAATTGTGTCTGAGAGTTTGGCTATATCAGCTGAGCAAATATACAAGACAGACCAATGGACTAGAGCTTTCCATTTCCACCAATAGAGGGATAACAGGTTTCCCTTTGCCTTCCTTCTTTAGGAAAGAAAAGGCAATAATGATAAATGAATCCATATAAAAAAGAACAAATTAAAAAAATATTAGTAGATTAGCAAAACTAGACAGTACAAGAGAGTAAAGACAACAAACACAATGAAAATAAACCAACCAAACAAAGATCTTCCATGACCTCCAAATACATAAAAATTTATGATTACTAATTACCATTTATGATTATTAATAGTTGTCCATCAAATAGAATATGCACCAACATTAAGATGTTATTTGTCAGCTATACATAAATTTTCTCCTATGAGTATTTTGGCATTAGAAAATGTGCCTTGCAAATGTGAGAGATCTGGCTACTTGGTAAAGAGCAAAATATTTGAAGTGCAGCAAGCAGGAATTTTTTCTTTTTTCTTTTTACTTTTTTTATATAACGGACTGTGTCCCCACCCATTTCGTGGCTGGAACTGATCCCTACACATACCCTCAATGACCCCCAAACCACAGGTGTCAGGTAAAGCAGAGAGGAGATTATTGAACCCCCCAGGAATTGAATGAAAACAAGACCCTGGGTCAACTATTTGAACGTAAAAAGAGCATTCATGTGGACATCCCCATTTATATGGGATTAAAGCAAGGATGGTGGCGATGATGGAGGTGATTCTTTTTCCCTAACATTTTTCATTATTGGTTATATGTAGTTTGACAAACAGGGTTGTCCACATGAATTCTCTTTTTACATTCTATTACAAGTCATCTCTCCTATATAATATTTAAATTTATAAAATCATTTTTAATAGCTTCATCTCATGTTAATTCTCTCCATACACATAGGTAATTGGATTGGACACCCATGTCCATCAGAATTTCTGTCTTCTCTAAATAATAATATGCAAACAAGTTCAGAAATCATGGTAAAAATGTAGTACGAATGCCCTTTATTTATCAGTATATACAGCTTCATTGCTCTTTCTTCATGTCAGCGTGAAAAACAACCAAAAAAAAAAAAAAACAAAAAAAACAGCATTTTTAAGGTTATAAACAGGGGGAAAGAAAAACGAAACTAGTAAAGCTTCATGCTAGATCGGTAAAGAAAACTATACAACACATAAAAGGGAAATACTACAGCATCATTTTTTAAGTGACGGCTTTATTAGTTCTAGCAATGAGTAGTTCAGCTATTTGTCAAAGGGAAAAGGAGAGCCAATAAATATAAAGAAAAATTATCAGTAGAGAAAGCCACCGTCAAAAGTCCTCTTAGAATTATCACATGGAAAAGTTGTGGATTAGTGAACACTTACCTAATTAACATAGGCTCATAGCATGACACGAGATAATGTAGTATAGTTTTTCAACACAATTGCGTCAAATCAGTATTATGAAACACAAACACAAATATAGCATGAAGATATGAGTGTTACCACAACAATTATTATGATACAAATGAGAAATGGAAGGAGAGGGTAGACCGCATACCTGTAAGCAACACGTGTGGCCTGGAACATGACTTCCCTAGACTCACCAGAACCGAGATCAATTGCCTGTGCCTGAGGTATAAAAGCATACTCCTACAAAAATAACTCTTCTAGTTGAGGTAGTAATCAATTACTTCACATTAATCATGTGCACTGAAAATCTTTTGGCCTTTTTGTCTACCAAAGAGAAACAATAATAATAATTTGGCCTTCTTGAATGCACTTCGAAAAAATATGATCTCTTAATTCAATCACATTTGATTCAAAATATGTAAAATGATAAATTAACAATGCAGTCCTCAGTAAACTCAAGAGATTAAGTTGACAACAAAAATGTTCACAATCCATTGACCTACTGGAATCTGAAATAGCAAGTAGATTAAACAGTTCAAGAGTACCTTAAGAAGAGGGCGGAGATAGAAACTCCCAGGAAACAAATTATCAAAGAGGAAAATTCCACCAGCACTAGTTACGGAGTTGTTCCTGTAACCATCTTCACCACTTAATGATAATAGAACAGGAGGAAAAAGCTCTTCAGCATCTTCCTTAGAATATATGTGTACAGAAATTTGACTAAGCTTCTGACAAGAGAACGAATGAGTTCCAACTGGCTTTACATGATAACCAGGCTGCAAATTATGAAAAAAATTAGGCAATGCACCCAGCAATCACAAAAAAGGAAAAACAACATGAGTTCTGATGTATGCTTCCCTTTTTTTGTGTGTGTGTGTGGGTGGGTGGGGGGATGGGGGGTAGGTGACATACTCATATTTTGCTAAAGTGCTAATGAAGATGCCCCATTCTCTACAATGTTGTAATATGAAACCATTAAACTATATAGCAAAAGCATGCTCAGATTTAAGTATCTTAACAATCATGTCTAAAACATGAACACTAGATGGAGATCAATGACAGCAATCTTTAAAGGTATATTTTCTTTTTTGATAAGTAATAATTCATTAAAAGCATTCCAAAGGGGAACACATCCCTCAAAAACAACACAAGGACAAATAGGGCCTCTAAACCCTCAATAAATCCAAACACTCTACAATCTCTTCCAAGGATTTACAATTTCTCCCCAGGACCCAACAAAAGAGAGTGCTAAGAATGGAGAACTTCGATGACCCAATATGATTTTCCTTTCCTTCGAATGATCTTCCATTTCTTTCAAGCCACAAACACCACCAATAGCACAGAGTAACCCTCCAATAGTCACGAGCTTGGGCCCCCACTATACAACCTCTCCAAGCCTCTGGTAGATCGTGGAATAACCCAGTGAATCCCGAACAACCCCAAAAACAAAAGCCAATAATCTCGAGCCACTGGGCAATGTAAAAAAAGATGATCAGCCGATTCCTTGTAATTTTTGCACATAAAACACAAAGTTAACCACAATCTGTCTTCTTCTCTGAAGATTATCTTGAGTCAATCTTTCTAAAAATTGATGTCTACGCAAAAAAAAGCTACTTTGAGGGGCGCCTTTGTTCGCCATATGGCCCCTCCATGGGAAGGCTTGTCCAGGAACATCCACAACACAACAATAGAATGACCGAACAATAAAGCGCCCATGAGAAGATGGAATCCACACGCCAAGTCAGAATCCTCTATCTCTGGACGATAAAGCAACTCCAAGAAGCCTATAGCCTCCTCCATCTCCCAGTCATGAAACAACCTCAAGAAACGCACATCCCACACTGATCTTCCACTATCAAGACGATAGCATTCATCCACCATGGCATGTCTATCAATAGCAACCCGAAAAAGTCTAGGGAAAGTGGTAGCAAGGGAACGATCCCCACACCAAATGTCATCCCAAAAACGTATATTCCTTTCATTTCTGACATGAAATCTAATGTGCTTGTAGAATTCATCCCAACCCTTCCGAATATGTTTCCAAACCCCCACCCCAAAAGGGGTTCTCACCTCAGAAGATTCTAAGACTCGGGCCTTAATTTGGCATAGGTTAGATGATGTGGGTCAACATGAAGTCTTGAATAATTGGGGGGTTTTGATCAAGTTATCATTTATGAGTTTGGTGGGCATTATGATGCAATTAAGGAGGTTTTTATTTACTTTTATGCTATTAAATGATGAGTTAAGAATTGGAAGAGTTGTGTCTTATTGATTATATCAATTATGAAGTAAGTGCAAAAGTCGTGAGTTAACCTCCATGTTGTCTAAGAGGCATGAGTAGAAATCCATGTTATCTTGGTTGATGAATGAATGAATGAATAATAAAATGTCTTTTGAAATTTCCTTGTGAATGATTCACAAATTAGCAGGTGTAAGGCCATCTTTAGGCGTGATGCCTAAGGCTTATTGGTGTGACTCCAATAGGATCATAGTTGTTAAAGGCTCAAGGCGCACCAAGGCGCCATGGTCTCCTCGAGCCTGAGGTGCAAGGCACAAGACGGGGCACATGCATGATTGAAGCGGGCGGGAGTTCAAAAAGAGGAGCGAGAGAGAGAGAGAGAGAGAGAGAGACGAGGAGAAGAAGAACAAGAAGAAACGGAAGTGCAGAGCAGATTTAGAAGAATTAAAAATTTGAAATATTGGAGGAAATTAAAAATTAATAAAAGTCAATGACTGAATTTGCATTTGAACTGAGTTTTGAGATTTAGCAATTCCTTTCAGGATTGTTGAGTTTTGTGGTAAATTGTCTGGTACAATTCATTGCATACCGCTTGTCCCTGCCCAAATAAACAACCATGTGCTTCATTCATTTGTGGAAGGAATTTCCTTCATTACTAAGAGTGTCTCATCTATGGTTCTATCCTTGTGTATAGCAACGGACCATTTAGAATTAAATCAAGAAGCTCATTTGGAAGCCATACCCAGTCTCACATCAAATTTGCATAATTTTAAGAGACATAAAAGTTAATGCAATTGTATGGAAAGAGTACAAGAAAATTAATTTAAGTTTAGAGAAGAGTACGAGAGGAGGAGGAGGAGGATGATATATATATATATATATATATATATATATATATATATATATTTGTGCACGGTGCAAAAAACACTTTCATTTCATTCCTTCTATCAGCTGATCCGTTGAAGGAATAGTATTCAGTTGATATGTAAGGTAACATATTATTTAGTTGGAGCACAATCAGGCTAGCTGATTTGTTCAAAGAATCATATCCATTAAGGTCATATATAATTTACCTGGACCACAATTAGGCTAGTTGATCAGTTGAAGGAATGGTAGGCTAGCTGATTTGTGAAAGGGTGGTAATCATTAAGGTAATATATTATTTAGTTCAACTGCAATTAGATGAGTTTATTTGTTGAAGGAATGGCATTCATTTAGTTCAATCACAATTAGGCGCAAAAGGCGTGCACCTTGAGCTCGGTGACCAGGCACGAAAGGCGCGTGCCTTCCTCAACTCACCTCGCCCGAGCCTATCCTAGTCACGGCTTCTGCGCCTTGAGGGGGCTCAGGCGCGCCTTTGATAACTATGAATAGGATGTTGTTATTTCAAATCCTCTCCCTCTATTAACACATCTCAAAACGCAACCCTAATTATCTGAATTTTCAACAACTAAACTCTATATTTTTCGACAATTTGTGGCTGCTCTTGAAGTTCTATATCAGTTATGTCTAAACAATCGGAAAATGAAAGATTAAATACTAAACAGTGGGTTGAGTTGCTATGTCGAATTGTGGAGCAGCCTAATGGGGTGAATATATGATACAATGAGATAGAAGCTCGAATTTATCAGCCTATTAACAATTTGGCAGCCATTGAACAAGGAACTGCATGTAGTACCAATGAAAGCAGAAACCTGGAGCATCAACAGACTTTAAACTCTCTGCAAAGTCGTAATTTGAGGGATGATCAACGCTACATCCCATGTTTGAGTTTCCAAGACATCCGTTAGAAGTGAATCATGATGAGCCACGTGATAATACTGTAGATATTATAAAGAAGTTAAGTGATGAAAATGGCAGCACACTAAGAACAACAATGCAGCCAAATGGTGGATCAAAACTCTCTCTCTCAAATATGGTCGATCTTAAAGAAAAGAGTACTATGGCTAGCAAGGGGAATGGAAGGGACAACAAGTGCTTCAAATGTGGAGAAACAGGTCACATGGCATATCAGTGTCCAAAGAAAAACTTACATATTGGAATAGGGCATGAAGAAGAGTTAGAAGAACGAAAGGAGAGGATAATGAGAACCTACTTGACTGTGGGATCTACAACACTGATAATCCGGAAGAGGATGAAGAGAATGTTCCATCCATCTCTATTGTGAGGCACATCCTTGCAGCCCCTAAAGTTGAAGATGAAGACTGGTGTCTCAAATCTAATTTTCAGATGCAATTTTGTTGTGGAAACCAAGCTCAGAAGCCTAATAGTGATAGCAGTAGCTGCACGAGTGCCGTCTCCGCAGCCACGGTTAAGCGCCTCAAACTTTCAATCCAATCACATCCAACAACTTTTCAAAGTGGCTTCATTAGATAGTAATTTTATTCCGGTGAATTATTCAGATGAGGAGAGGATGTTTGACACCGTTATTATTCTTGGCCTTATTCGCAAGGACTAGCTGAACCTTACAGAATACAACATGCACATGGCAAAGCTTATTGATGTTCAGAGGAATAAAGCTGCTAAAGAGTTTGCAATCTCTCTTCTCCAATCTTTTATGGTTCAGGAATCAAGAGTGTGTAAGAACTTCCTAATTTGTTTAATGCCTTGGCAAAGCTTGCAAAAAGACCTGGATCTCCCGAGTCTTTACAACAGTTGATTGAGACTGCAAGAAATTCTGCTGCTAATGTTGCAGTTCTTGCTGGATTTCCTGCTGGCAAGGATGATAGGGTCAAGCAATCCAGGGAAAATAAAGGTTCTGACCATGCTGTTACAACCAGGGATGACTATATCAATGCTGAGTCTGGGAAGCAGATCCTAAGGTTTTTGTGATCAGGTTTCTGCCCTATTTGTGGAGTGGTACCAAATATCTGAACTTCATGGTACAAATGATGTATCTTGTACTCACTTTATTTTACAGTTGCAGCAAAGTGAACATCGTAATGGGGATGATATGCCATATTGTTGTTCCCCCCTTTCCACAGAACTTTTTGATACGCATTGTGTCTTTACTGCGCCGACAAGTATCAGGTCATTGTCATCGCGGTCACCTGACACATCTCAGAACCTGTCATTTCTTGCTATAGATGTGTACGCAAAGCTTATTGTTCTGATTATGAAGTACTGTGTGGTGTAGCATGAGACAACTAAACTTCAAATTTTGCCTGAAGATATTATCAGTAATTGCCACCCAAGGCCATATTTCAGGTTATTCGTCAGCTGGCTTAATGACAACCTTGACCTAGATCCCATTCTAGAGGGTGATAATTTTCAGGTTTTGGTTGCTTTTGCCAATGTTTTCCGTTTATTGCAGTCTTTTAAGTTTCTGCATTCAGATTTGTTCGACTGGAACTGGTGAGTCACGGGAGCTTTATGCCTAAATTGCTCACTGTTAACCCTCCGAAAGGTGGGCCTTGTGTTCAATGCTTGCTCGTACACCTGTTCAAAATTATGGGCCACATCTGAGGAATGTTGACCTGTGAGAACCAATATATTTTCTGTATAAAGGCACTACTGCTTTACAATTTTTTAGAGTTCCTTTGTGATTATCATTTCAGATTCTGATGTTATAACTTCCAGCTGCATCCAAATGCAAAACACCATTTGATTGCATTTCACGCAATATGAGGCTTCCTGATCCTTCTATTCCTAACTTGAAGATTGATTTGCTGGCAGAGATCAACCAATCACCATGTATTTTCTCAGAGGTGGATGCTGCTTCCTTTTCAACAACAAATGGCCCACAATGGTTCCTTGGAATATTTGATGGGTGCTGCTATGGATATCTTCCAGATTGTCGACGCTGATACTAAAGGGTGCAACCTTTTCCTCAATGTAATTGCTAATCAGCTATTTGATCACCAACTCGTTTCACCAAGAGGAGGGGGTTATCAAAAGTTCCTTGTTGAATGGAGGGGACGTCCACTTTTTTATCGTACTTGGGTTACCGATGGTGAGTTCCAATACCTAGCTCCTTACCTTTAAGAGCAATTCATCCATTAAACCCGCTGGGGTGGAGTTTTTCCAAGCCGGGGAGGATTAATGGAGAGTAATGGCAGCAATCTTTAAAGGTGTATAAAAGGCTCGGTAAGGACGATTCTAAGACTCAAGCCTTAAATTGGCATAGGTTAGATGATGTGGGTCAACTTGGAGTCTTGAATAATTTGGGGTCTTGGGCAAGTTGCATCATTTATGAGTTTGGTGGGCATTACAATGCAATTAAGGAAGTTGTTATTTGCTTTTATGTTAGTGAGTCATGAGTTAGGAATGGGAAGACTTGTGAGTCATATTGATTATCTCAATTATGAGTTAAGTCCAAAAGCCATGAGTTAACTTCCATGTAAGTATAAGAAGCATGAGTAGAAATCCTATAAAGTGATGGAGTGTAATCATAAAATGACATTTGAAATTTCCTTGTGAAAGATTCACAAATTCATTAGTGTGAGGTCTTGTTTAGGTGTCATGCCTAGGCTCATTGGTGTGACTCTAATAGGCTGTTGTTACTTCAAATCCCTTTTCTCTACTAACACATATCAATCCCGAGCCCTGATTATCTGAAATTTTTACTATTTAAGGCTGCTCTTGAAGTCCTACATCAACTGTCACCCAAGGCTCCGATACATGAGTGTGTGAGCAGTGAATTGGACCTAGAGGGGGGTGAATGGATCTTATGGATTTTAATTCAAAAGTTCAGCTATTTTTAGGTAGTTATGCTATTTGTAATTTGAATTTCATTTTGCATTTGCTAGTTTTCAAATCACCTTCACATACATGACCATGCATCCATAAAATTGAAGTAAGATCAGAGACTGAAATTTTTTGTGAAAACGCTAAAGAGGGAAAAACCACAGGACTACCAAGGAAGTAACAACCCCTAAAGAAGCTAGAGCAAGGCCTAATTGACAAGAACAATTTATATGAGAAAGAATTTACAACTATGTTAATTGTTTCGTCATCCTAGAACCTCTAGATACCTCTTGATATAGATTGACACCAAGCTTTCCACTCAAGACTTCAGGTCATTCATCCACCCTGCCAGGGTGATTTGCTCATCAAGAATTTGCTTCTCCAATGGTTGTACTTTCTTCTGCTTTAATCGGTTCGATTTGAATGCCTCAATACATTAAAAATGTCTCCTTGATGAATACTCAATCACATAAAATGGTGTCTAAGAAAATCCTAGATTGAGTACTTGGGAATTTCCCTCACACACAAGGATTTTATCTCTCGGGATGATTAGAGGCATACAAACATACCTTCGACCAAATATAATCCCACAATTTAAACCTATATAAGTAGGTCATACGTTTTGGTGAGTTCAATCCATGTAGACATCCGTTTTGAGTGAGTTTAGAAAAATAAACTTCGCATGATTCGATTTATTGAGACCTACTGTCAAACTACTCAATCAATTGACCAATCCAATAAAGTACACTGGAGTTCAAAAAATAAAAAATAAAAAATTCTAGAAAAAATTGATCGATCCAACTATGAATTGAAGTCTACTGCAGAGCCCTTAGATCCTGTTGATCAACACATACTTTTTTTCAATTTTAACACCTACACAAAATAAGTACTTTTGAAAAACCACTTATCAAAAACAAGTTTAAATAAACATTTTGAGATTCTTGAAGATCAAAACTAGGATATCTAAGGTTTTTCTAAGGTTATTTATTTACATGTGCCCTAGATATGTGATATGCGGATTTCTGGACATGTTCTTCACAAATCTTTGTCTGCATTGTCTTCAATGGATGTATTCAGATGACTCAAAACACTTTGAAACATTACAAACAAGGTTTTGAGTAGGAAATTGCCAAAACAAGACTCATTTACCCTACAGTAGGGTTTAGTAATAAAACTTGAGGAAAAAGCTTTTAGCAAAACCATTATACAGAAAATAATGTTTATTTAAGTGGAGACAATCTAGTGGCATCTTGTGTGGTAAAAGAGTAACACATAGGTTAAAAGAAAATTTCTATAAGACCGTTGACGTTCTTAGGCCGACTATTCTCAATGGAACAAAGTGTTGGGCTTTAAAAAAGAAACAGGAACAATGCCTTCACATAGCAGAAATGAGAATGCTAAAATGGATGGTGGGAGTAACTAGAAGAGATAGGATCACAATGAAAGTGTAAGAGAAAAATTAGGTGTGACACCCATCAAGAGAAAATATGAGTAGACTTAGATGGTTTGGGCAAATACACTGGAGACCTATAGATGCACCAGTGAGAAGAGGAAGTTTAATTTCCATAGAAGGTAAGAGACGGAAGGGGCAACCAAAAATAACGCGGGATGAAGTTAGTAGAAATGAGTTTCAAACTTTCAAAGGATAAGCATGGTAGGCAATATGGTGGGTAATAGAAAGGTGGAGAAGTAGAATTCGTGTGGCCGACCCCATTCATATGGGAGTAAGGCAATGATGATGATGATGATGATTATGATTATGATTAGAACTAATGCAGGAAAAATATCTAATGCAGGTAAGCCATTTATATACATGTACTTTAAAGACTGCCTAGGTTCCAGGAATATTGCATTGGCAACCAGCAAGATCGTCACCTAAAGCTCACCTTGGCCTTTTGAACAACTATAATCTTTAAAAATGCTGATTCCGTCATTTACTATATCGAACTAATTCATGGAAGCATTCAAGGGACCAAATTGCAGTTTTTTTTTTTTTTGACAAGTTCATATTGCATCATGATAAACACCCAGAAAATGATCTTTGATTCATGAAAAGATAAATCAGCAAAACTATGCCCAAATAAAATTATAGATTAAATATAAACAAGTAGATATGAACAAGATTAATTGGATCACCATGATTTAGAAGAATCACGCTCATAACTAATTATAGAAAGCATTACATATAATAAAAAATCCATAAGTATATAATATTGCACTTAAAATATTATGATGAAAATGGCCCAAACCTTTGAAGCCTCAGTGGTGTAAATAATATCATCATATAGAGGTCCCCCAACAAAGAAACCATCTGCCCCAGTGGTGGTCTCAAGTGCTAATTCACCTTTCTTAAGTGGAGCATTGCTGCTATCTCCCGCTGCAATAAGTCTAATATGAACACCAGAAAGAGGGGGTGAAACTGATCCTTCAATGTACAACCCCAGTCTACCAGAAAATGGAGGAATTGAAGATTGGCAACCATTATGTGTCACAAACACCTAAAAGTACAGAATTTAAATATTTTAAATAACTGAAATTTGATAGACATTAGAGCAAACTTTGGAAGTGAAATATTATAATGCTGCTTACATGATGATGCCTAGGATAAAACAATATTTTATTTTTCCCATCACTCCTGAAACATATAAAAATTCAAGTTAAGGGCATACAAACTGACGAATGATAATATAGATGAGTATGACAAGTATCTAAGCAATCAAGATAAAGAAAAGAAAATTATGTATATTTACCACCTAAAGAAGAAGAAAAAAAAACACCATGCTAAAGCAGTTGAAAGAGAGACCTTAGCACAGAAGAGAAGCTCATAGAAAAAAATACTATATACAGAAAAACAGAATCAAGCTTCAAAACTAATGCAAACGGGAGAAAAGAAGTTATATTTTCCTTTATTGCAAATCTGGCATGCAAATTTACCAATGCAATGGAAGTGGAACTAATGGTTACTCCCTGCATTTCTCCCTAATGTATGGAACTGTCAGCATTCACCTAAAAAATATTTTAAAGAAAATTGCATTGTGCTCCAGGGAGAGGGAAATAAAAATAAATATATAAATAAAATAAAATAAAAAAAGATTCCTCCTAAAATGACAGCTCATTCACAAAGCTAGTTATATCTTAGGGATTCGAATCAATGGGATTATAGAAAGCAGCACCGTATAAGTTCTTTATAATTGTTAAGTTGCAACTCTCCTTGGGTCAGACATGCATGGGCAATTGAAGAGGATTTAATGACCAAAACTGAGAAAATTTTTAGGTATATGTGTGGGACCAGGAATTTCTAGAGAAAGGCATTACCAGATGTATGACCCACACGTGGGTTCTGCTACAGAAGACTGGTGATGAACGTAGCCATAGGTATTAAATCGGAATCACAAAAGTCTATGGCATTAATGAATATCTAGATAGTGAAATAAACATCGTGAAAGAAAATAAATCGAATCACAAGGGGTAAGACAAGTGGTCAGGGGCCGTGCCTCATGAAATCGAAGTTCTTGGTTCGATTACCATCACTCGAGGTTAACCTCCACAGAAAATTCTGTGGTTATATTGCACAAGGCTTTGGGGCATAGACGTGTGACAGAAGATTAGTCCTACCTAAGGGTAGGGTTACCCTTTGATACCATACCTGCAAAAGGAAAAGGAATATTGGAGAAATTCAACCCTACCAAATATCGAAGATTACCAAACATTAACACAGATTGGGAACAAGGTCTGAAGATTTCCCCAATTAACACAGATTGAGAACAAGGTTGAAGATTCTCCTTTTCTAAAAAATTGGCAAAACTACACTTCCTCCCGAGGTTTGTCAATATTACATGACCTCCCCTCATGCTTTCATAATAACACTGAATCTGCTGTCAGTGACATCTAATGCGGTTAGGTTATCAAGTTAAAATACCTTTTTGCATATGAATTAACTACATATACTTGTTGCTGTATCAAAAAGACTAGAAGGCCATTGTATAATTTTTTTCCCTGAATGGTGGAAAAGTTTATTGATACAAATAAACATTAGAGTACAAAGAGATAAGTGATCAATACAGAGGATCACGAGCAAACACAGAAAAACCATTTAGTCTTGGGCATATACCCTTGACTAAAGAGAAGAGAAGGAAAACAAGAATCAGAAAACAGCTTGCAAATCATCAAGGGATAGATTCTGTAATCCATCACTTGAAAATAAGTCATTGGCACCAGCGGCGGCACCACCGGACAGGTAGCTGCACTTGAGCTCTGGCAAGGTCATAAAGTTGTACCCTTTGAGAGAGGCAGCAACATAGGCACGTAATTCCTAAACTGATTCAGACTCACGTTGGCCGGAATTGAACCAGTAAGTTGATTATTAGACAAATATAGGGTTACTAAATACGGCAACCACGAATAGATTTGTGTAGGGATTGAACCAGTGAGATAGTTACCGGAGAAATCGAGAGATTCCAAACACTTCACATCGTCTTCTGTGAAATGCACGACCAAACAAGAACCAATATAGATCTTTACTACTTCTCATGGACAACTAGCCTAGCAATAAATCTCTCATATGCCACCATTAAAGCCTCAACAGCCCCCTTTTCTAGCCAATTCTGTAACTTTATGCTACCATATACATATTAGTTATAAACAATAAAGCGCCTCACTTCACACTATGATTCAAATCCTCTTTTGAAAGGAAGAATACCCAAAAGACAATGAAGAAAATAAGATTCCAATTTCTTGATATTTTCTTGATCCTCGCTACGGTACTGTTTGTATGCAGTTTGATCGTTGCAGCTGGTGCAACCACGATTGCAGATCAGTATACCAACAACTTTGACACAGTGACAGCTTGCCTGTCGTATGCGACGGGGAAGGCAGCAGCACCAACCAAGGGGTTCTGCGGTGGGATAATGTAAGCTTACTAAGCTATCCACTAGCATGCCCGAAAAGGCTTTTTATATTCACTAAGTTGATATATATATTTGATTATAGGTATTTTGGTCTACTTGACTTTATAAAAGAAGGGTATTTGTGTACTTTTACTTTCGTCAAAGTGGATATAAAAGTCTTTTTGCTTACAACAAGGGCAAAATTGGGTTTTCAATTTTTTTTGGTGGTGACACCAGCAACTTCCTCAACTGTTCATCACTCTTTATAGGTCATGGCGAAATCAGTTACATAAATACAAATGAGAAGGGAGGGTTGTGTTATTATGAATGCAAGAGGGGAGGTTCCTATAATATTTTTTTTTACCTAAATGAAGGAGTATATTAAATATAAACAAAATATTACATAGGAAAATGAAGGCATACCTTCATTAAAACACATGTCCTAAAAAAACAGGACACAAACAAGTCCTAGACAAGGACCAACTCACGAAAGTAAAGTTCCTGTAATATTGACAAACCTCTGGAGAGGTAAGTTTAATTTGCCCTAAAAGAATTTAGAGTTGGAAGCAAGCACTATTAGACAATATCTTAGTAAGATGAATTCATGATAGATTTTTTAAAATAATAAAAAATTAATAGAAAACAGTTTAATTTTTCAGTTAAATGGCATGCAAATTAAATTTAGGTGATTGTGGGGGTATCAAGCATGGAAAAAATGAAGGATATACAAATTGAAAGGCATACAATGTCAAATGCTTAAAGGTTAGATGGAGTATGCAAAATACATGTGAAGATTCATGTCTAAACATGATTAAGTTGGTTGTCTTAAGATAGATATAACACGAACTTCCCCAAGCGCACAATATATATCTTTTCAATCATAGGGGCATTAAATAAGGAGTAACAAACTTTCAAGTAAAATGAACTAAAAACTATATACCTCGAGTCCTGGGGAACAAAAGTAAGTTTTTCTCCAGGATTAGCCCATATGGAATACTTGTACACATACTGATCATTTCCACTAGCTTCAAGTCTGGCATTAGTACCATCAACAATAGTACCCTCATTATTAAGAATGTCCACTAATATATCCTCAGGTAACTCCGTTAAATCATTGAGTGAGCTTGATTCAACATGGATTTTCCCTCCAAGGATATATTTTTCTCCTTTTAGATAGATGGGCTAGCAAAAAATATATATATATATGAGAGAAAGAGGCAAAGATGATAGAAATGCAAGAAACAGTGACATCGATGTCACAAGTAAGAGGAAGATTGACTAAATAACCATACCAACGGGTTTGATGTATCAATTTTCATAGATGAGCTCCCGAAGAAAATACACGAGTTCGCAAAGTGAAGTTCATGCGTTCCAGGCGATTCTATACATATGTGCTGAGCACCTTTCTGCAGTTCACATAAAAACGAAAACAGAAAATTAGTTTCATAAGAACGTGAGTGCAACAGTCTCTAGCAGTTAAAGCCACAAGTGTGTTTCCGGGAAGAGTTATTTGAGTTATTTTTAACGGACAGAAAAAAACCTTGATTTTCAAATTCACATGTGAACCATCTGGTTGAGTCACGTAAGCATCTACATCATGGGTGGAAATTACATTAACCCAATAGCCTTTCTGAACAAAGACAATTCCTTTAACATCATCAGTGCCAACATCCACATCAATAGAACTCTGTTCCCAGCACCAATTATCTACTCCCGTCCTGGCTCCAGGGGAACTATGCATCACCTAAAAATGGAAACAAGCAAATAAAAGAAGATAGTGCAAAGAATACAAAGTAACCAGCAATTCGCAATTTATTAAAGTAGAAAATTGATCCTTTTTTTATATAAAATTGTATTAACAAGAGCGTTCAAAAAGGGAACACATCCCTTGGAAACTATACAAGGCCAAATAGGGCTTCTAAACTCTCAAAGAGTCCAAAAAATCAACTAACTCCATCATGAATTTACAATTTCTCCCTAGAACCCAACAAAAAAGAGTGCCAATAATAGAAAACTTCAATACACCAATAGGTATAGGATTCTCCTCTCCTTCAAAATATCTCCTATTTCTTTCGAGCCACAAGCACCACCAAACGCACAAAGGCGTAACCTTCCAACAATCACGGTCTTGGGCCCCCAGTCTACACCCTCTCCAAGCCTCCATCAAGTCTCTGAAGGATCTGGGCATAGCCCACTCAACTCCAAACAAACCCAAGGACAATGCAAAAGAATGTGATCAACTATTTCTTCATCTCTCTTGCACATGTAGCAACAATTAACCACCACCACGTCTCTCCTCCTCCTCAGATTATCTTGAGTCAAAATCTTCCCCAACATAGAGGTCCAAACAAATAAAGCCACCTTAAGGGGGGGCCTTTGAACGCCAAATAGTCTTCCACGGGAAAGAATCTCCAATAACATCCGTAAGACATCTAAAGTAGGATCGAACATCAAAACGTCCCTTGGAAGAGGGAATCCACACCCATAAGTTAGAAGCTCCACCCACAATCTCTTTGGTGGTACAGCATCCCTCAATCTCCCAATCCTGAAAATGCCTCAAAAGCACACATCCCATTGTTCTCCTGTTATCAAGTCGATAACAGTTAACAAACAAAGCATGACTATCCATGGCAATCCTTAAGAGTTTGGGAAAAGTAAGAGCGAGAGATCGGTCATCACACCATAAGTCCTCCAAAAAACGAAACCCCCTACCATCCTTGACTCATGTTTGGAGAATTCATCCTAACCCTTCCGGATGCACTTCTACACCCCAACACCACTTGGAGATCTCACCTCCAAAGAACGCCATCACACCATCCACCTTGAACTCCCCCAAACTTGCTAGCAACCTCCCTTCTCCGGAGTCTATGACTCTCCACCCCAAATCTCCATTAACATTTCCCCAACAGGGCGTTGTTGAAATAAACTAGATTCCAAATACCCAACCCTCCCTTCCTAATCTGATAGCACCAACAAACCAGATGAAACTTTAACTCCTCCCCCTTGACATCCCAAAGAAAGTTCCGTTGTAGCCTCTCAATCCACTCAGCCACAAAAGGCAGAATCTGAAAAATAGAGAGGAAGTGGGAAGGCTCGACAAAGTGATCTTCATTAAAGTGACCCTCCCTCCTTTTGGAAGGTGTTGCTTCTTCCACCCTACCAGCCTCCTCTCAAACCTCTCCACCACAGGATCCCAAACACCCACTCTCCTCGAGGAAGTCCCGAGCAGTAACCCAAGATAAGAAATAGGGAAAGAGCACGTGCTACAACCAAGAATGTCAGCTAAGGTGGAAATATCCGGAACCTCGCCAATCGGAATCATGACACTCTTTCCCACATTCACTTTCAAGCCAAAGACAACTTGAAACCAAACCATAACACATGTCAAGTATCTCATCTGAGACGCATCCGCATCAGAGAAAACCAAAGTATTGACAGCAAACACCGAATGAGAGACCTCCAGCTGGCACGAGGCATCCCTACCCACCTAAAAATCCCTCAAAAAACCCAGATTCTCAGCCCTACTCATCATCCTGCTAGAGCCTCCATCACAATGAGAAACAAGAAGGGGGAGAACGGATCCCCCTGTCTCAGACCCCTCAAACTACTGAAAAAACCAGTTGGAGATCCATCACAATGAGAGACAAGAAGGGGGAGAACGGATCCCCCTGTCTCAGACCCCTCAAACTACTAAAAAAACCAGTTGGAGATTCATTCACAATAGATATGCAAAACTCAATTCATCTCCTCCATTTCTCTCCAAACCCCATCCTCTCTAATATATAAAAGAAGCTCCAACAGACATGATCATAAGCCTTCTCAATGTCAAACTTACACAACATGCCTGGGACACCACTACACAGTCTGGAATCCACACACTCGCCAGCAATAAGAACAAAATCCAAATCTGACAACCTCCAACAAAAACATTTTAAGAAAACTGATCTTAAGATGTGGTACATGCTATATCGTCTTTTGTAGTTTTAATCTAAAATATAAACTTATCCAAGGAAAAAAAACTCTAACACTATTGGAAGCTATGTTTGTGCATATAAACATTAGAGCCACAATTAGAATCAGGCAGAGTATCGATCTTGTTAATCTAATCATGGACTCTCCTAGAGATACTTGTATCACTCAACTGTGTTTAGTTTCTAAATGTATGTGAAAGAGCTACAGATGTTTAGGTGGAAAGGCAAATAACTACTTTTTTGTAATACATATAGTCCAGAAAGAAAAAGAAAAAAATCATTATATACCAATCCCTCTGCACATTTTCCAAGCATAAAAATGTTATACACCTATCCCTCTGCACATTTTGTAAGTTTGTGGAATCCAGAGGCAGGCAGTGGTCCATGGCAGTGAGATAATCTGCAGGGGTGGGCTTATGGAAGTTCATTCGCAGAGGCTGGGATAACTTTTCTGAACATACACAATTCAGGGCAAAGAGAGGCAGACAGATTAGCTTCTGGGCAAACACTTGGTGTGGTGGCAAGCCTCTGGAAAGGATTTTCCCAAGACTCTTTCAGATTGTTGGGGATAGGCAGGCGAGAGTCCCAGATTCTATCACCTTGATAGCGATAGATAAGTGTGGAATGTGCAGTTCGAGAGATCTTTTCAGGATTGGGAATTCGAGGACGTTATGGGGTTTTCGGCACTCTTGTATAATCAGAGTTTGTGTGAGGAGGAGGTGGTTGAGTGGTCCTGGATGGGCTCTCTAGTCATGGAAGGTTTGAGGTGCGATCTTTCTACAGAAGATTGCTAGTTGTTGAGGGGCCTCCGTTTCAAGGAAGGCAGGTGGACCAGAGCCCGCTTAAAGGTGGCCTTTTTTATTGGTTGGACAGCAGCCCTCGGAAGAATTTTGATGATGACAACCATACAAAAAGACGACAGATCATAGTTAACTGGTCCTGTACGTGCAAGAAAAATGAAGAGACAGTGGGATCAGCTCCTTTTGTACTGCCCAGTTGCTAGGGACACGTGGGAAATGTTTTTCACCACCTTTGGGATTCAGTGGGTCATGCGGGCTTCGGTGCTGATTATGCTTGAGGTTTGGAAGCGTTGCTCATTGGGATCTCAAGCTAGAGATGTCTAAAGAGCTGCCTATATATGCTGATGGTGTCCTTTGGAGGGAAAGGAATTGGAGACCCTTCAAGGCAGGGGAGTCTTCTATAAGGGTGCTGAAATTCCATGTGCTTAGTTCTTTATTTTTATGGACTCATGGGAGGAATTGTAAATCTATGGAACTCCTTCTTTTGTGTTTTGTGGATAGCTTGAGGGATATAGTTCTTTTTGTTTATAGCAGCTGTACTAGGGGTGCACTCCCCTTTTGAGTGCTCTTCAATGAACTGTTACTGATCCAAAAAAAAAAAATAGCATATGAAGATGGAATTTTTCATAAGTGTCCAAAATTGTGTCAGACATAACCGGCACTGCCTGCTGCCATGTTAATGAGCACCCGTAACTATAGACGTCAATATGAAGTGTCTTGCATACTGTAGCTTGGACTCAAACTTACAAAGTCACTTTAAATATTAAGAAAGAACAACATATGACTGCATTAGTGAGTAATGCCTCCTGTAATGGCAACTGACAACTATATCTTACAAATATATACATACATACATACATATATATATATATATATATATATTAAAAACACAGACAAGCTAGATACAAAGTTAATGTAACACGAACGCTTTATTATTGATCATTATAACTAGAAAACTTAATCTGGGACAAAAATAAAGGCAAACAACAAGTACAGTACCTCAAGCTTGTAATTCCCAGGTAAAATGTTCGGAAACACAAATTCACTGCTGTCATCAGCCAAACTCACTGCCATTGTCTCTTGTTTACTTTTACCATCCAATCTTACAAGACTAACAGAAACAGATGAACCACATTTCTCCTTGCAGGCTACTGAGCCAAGTACATTCACTTGTGCCTATATTTGAAAGAAATACATGAAATGTGATTTATACATAAAACAGAACATAAAGCATACAAGAAAAGGAAGTCCACATTCAGCACCCATCTTAATCATTCATGCTAATTAAGAAAATAGCTTCTTTATAGAATTATTTTTTATGGCTTCACAATGATTGTTGCATGTGCAAGAGGGATGAGGAGTCAGTGAATCACAATCTCTTGCACTCTCCCGTGGCTCGGAATAGTTTGGACATGCTTCTGGGCTTTGTTCAGGGTCTACTGGGTCATGCCTTTTTCCATGAAGTCTATGCTTGCGGCGTGGAGAGGTGGTTTTGTGAGGGCTCAAGCCCGTGACTCTTGGAGGGTGGCGCATTGTGTTGGTGGTGGGGCTTGTGGTGGAAAAGAAATAGGAGATCATTCGATGGTGAAGAGACTTCTATTGGGGTGATTAAGTTCTCTATTATTAGTTCTCTATTCTTTTGGGTTCTTGGGAGGAACTCTAAATCTATAGGGGAGGTTTTCGATTTTGTGGCTATGTTGGGAGTCTATGGGCCCTATTAGGTCCTGGATTGGTACATGGGATGCGCTCCCTGGTTGAGCATGCTTTTCTATGAAACATTACTTATCAAAAAAAAAAAAAATAGTCTTCGAACGAAGATCAAGGCACACTATTCAATTCTTGCTCCAAAAAGTCAATATGAAGAGAACAATATCATCCAAGTTAATAAATCACTCTATAAAACTTTCACCCCTATATCAGTGTACATCTTCTCAATCCAAAAATGATGTCAAACTATGAGTAAAACTTTTTTTAGTGTGAAGTGGTGAATGATTTTCAATAACGATAAAAAAGTGTAAATAGGAAGAAAAATGTAAAAGCAACTTGACATTTTCTCACTAAGGAAATCACCTGGTAAAATCCAACATTGAGTAATGGACTGTTTACTGTGACATCAACATAAGGTGGCAAAAACAGAAGTCCCGGAGCACTCTCAGTTGTAGCTGCAAAAGCAGATAAGCGATATTCGCCTGGTTGAACCTGAACAATATTGATATTGACAAAAAGTGATGAAATTGATTAAATAAAGGAGTCATAAATTCCATTATTGATGACTGACAACAATGAATGAGAATACCAAAAAAATACTTCAGAAGCTGCTATTCTTCTATTTTTCTTTATATTTATTTATTATTTTCCTTTCATTTTCCGAGGAGGTTTCTTGTAGAGGCAGCAGGGTTATGTATTTCATATCACTAAGGCAATAACATCAGCACTGTTTTCAGAACTGTAAATCTTGTTTTCTTCTATGGCACAAAGGTTTGACCAGCTTTTGACTATTCATTCTGCACTATATACTAAGAACACATAAGGTATCTTGCACTGTGGTTTCAGCTTCAGCCAAGTATACCACGTCACATAACTTTCAACTGTTAAGATGCTCCACCAGAACATAATATCAAAATAATCAAATCAGCAAATAATAAACTGATGTAAAAAATTGTTGAAGATCGAATGAAATTCATCGGATCTCAACTGAAACAAAATCTAGAAGGAAAGAAAAACAATAAGAAATATGCATGCTTGCATTTACAAGCTTGTTGAAATATTCTGTGCACTAGATAACAACATCACCCATACAACTCAAGCCAAGCCCAGACAAGGAAATCACATCAACAATCTGGTTAAGGATCTACAATATTGTCCTTAAATACTTCCAAAGTATGTCCCAATGGCTTACAAAGTCTTCAATAAGATATGTGATAAGCTAGTGTTGTGCTAACAAATAGGACATAGACCAACCAAATACTAGATTTATGTACGTCACCACCCTAATAGGGGTTTCTGTCCAAAGTACCATGGTTAGGAATCAAGAGTATATTAAAGAAAAAATAAGTAAACTTAAAATAACATGGAACCACACCTCGAACTATTTGGTGCATCTTAGAAATTAAATACTTGACAGCAAATGTGGACGCATGTACTGAATTTAAAAGGAAAAATGGTTTAGTCTCATGTGAACATACCTCAAAGCAGAAATTACCATGCTCATTTGTCGTTTTCACTTGAGGTTTAACATTCTCCGGTCCATGAGTCAAGGCTACCTAGTTTCCATATATAACAGTAAGTAAAAGGGAAAAAGAACAAAACGCATGTTCCTGTTTCTAAGAAGTAAGGAAGAAAGCACAGCATCTTAAGTTATGTGTCACCTCTGGTGAGTTTATAAAATGAAACCATGAAAAGACAAAGTTCAGGAGAAACAAAAATCTTCAAGGTAAAAGATTCAATTCACTTCTAGTTCAAGGCTTGCATCACAACTTCAACGGTTAATTAATAATTTACAACATGACTGCCACCACCCCCTCAGCCACAACATCCACTCACCATATTATCCTCGTGACCATCCCCTCGTCGCCACCACTAACTCCATTATTCCAACAACAAAAACTGCCATGGCAACAACCATCACACCACGTCCTCCATAATATCCAGTGTTGCAGGTCACAGCCAGAAGCCCTTCCCATACCAATAACCCCCCTCCAAAACCCAAACCCAATGTCCCTCTATTGGGAATTGAGCCCTTCACATTTCCCAAGGAAGCAGCTAGTGGTACCACATCCACCTCTATAGCACCACCACTAGCAACTAATTTTACTAGCACATACACAAAAACCTCCCTTCTGCCTTAATCTCCACCATCACCAACTCAATCAAAAGTACCTTGGGCTCCAGGGCTAATATGAATTTTAAGAAAAGTTTTTGAGTTCAAATACCAAACACATCTGCTGATTATTGACTAAATAGCTACTTATTGGGAGGAAAATGAAACAAGTAAGAAAATTAAAAAAGAAAACACAAGTCCCATACATTGGACCTAATTAAATACATAATATTAGGAATAGAAATTAATGAAGAAAAGAACTGAATATTTTGAAACTACCTTCGCCTTGTAGCCAGAACTAACCATCTGAACCATGCCACAAACATCATAGGAGACCGCTTTAATATCTACAACTGAAGCCATGTTTGGCAGAACCTAACAACAGTTCATTTGAAATTAAAGAAAAGCACAACAAAATCTTCATCACAATGAAGCAGAGAAGTAAGAACAAAGCAAATGCACTAAGTTTCACATACGTCAATGAACGTTGTTTAGGTCAATCTTATAAAAGCTTCAGATACAACGATCTAGAATTTTCTGATTCACTTACCAAAAAGTCCACCAGCTTGTCAAACTTGTAGTGCTCCTTTTTCGCTTCTATAGTATAGCGATCAGACGTGACCTACAAGCCTTCAACAACTTAGCCAAAAAAAGCAATAATCTAAAAGAGACACGAACATGATATAATATAATTTGGTACAAATAATCACTACCTAATATAATTTACACTTATTCTGAAAGTACATCAATTAAGATCTTGAAGGATACTAACTACGAAAGCGACTAAAAAAGGAATAGATGAGAGGAAAGGAAATATTAAAAATTTAGTTCAACATACTGTAAAATTTGGCCTATACAACTTCAACCCCGAGTCAGTAGAAAAGAAAGAATTTTTTAATGGATAAACAAAATAACAGAAATCGATAATTTTGCATGAACACTAGAACTAGATCAACAAAGAGATTGGTAAGTAGATGTACACTTGAGGAGCAGCGTCTGTATTAGACAGTGACATCAGAAATAGACACTGGCATTGCTCATAAACTCCCAAATCTAGCCCATCTAGGACTTGCAAAAGTTACACTTAAAATTGTTAGTATTTACTATAAAACAAGGTTAATACTTATTAGACACTTGCCAACATGTGAACAATAAACATTGCAAGAGCGGAAAAATCAAAATAAAGTTTTATACAGTATTTAAGACTCGAATTTAGAAAGAAAATAAAGATTTAAGGTGGTTCAATAAAAAGATGGGCATCAGAAGAGCGGAAGAGCATCATAATTATGTACACACATGTACGCTTTTCCAATTCTTAGCAGATGCAAGCCATTTCCATGTCATGCTTTGTTGAGACACGAATTATAAATTTTATGTTATCCCATACAATATCAGTTTACTTATCATAAAAACTAATGCTTTAGGACACAGCAAAGGAATCTTTAAAAGAGACTAAAGGGAAGAAATTCATAATGAAACATTGTGGTGAAATCATAAAATATAACAAGTAAAACAAGAAAAGAAGTTTCAAAGAATGGCAAAAGAGCATGAAACAAAAAGATTTAGAAAAGTACTGGCAACATACCGCGAGTGATTGCCCAGTTACAGAGTTAAAGAACTAGTATCCATACCAAAATAAGGACATGGATTTGTTCAGAGTAGAATAGGACACAATATAAACATAAGGGATTTAGTGATTTTTCAAAAAAAATTGTTGAATGATCAATTGAAGGGCATATTTATATGGGAGGGTAAACTAGTAAATTACAACTTCTGTTAACACCGTCCAATGAAAAGGTCTAACAACGGAGGCTAGTGTAATTTATAAAAACATAAGGGAGGCCGCTCTATTTTTGCATAAGTGGAGGGGAGGTCAGTGTGATTTTTCCTATAATTTATAAAAATAGAAAATAATTTATTGGCTGTTGATCCCTCTCTATGTTCGTATTCAACTTTTTTAAGGTTTGTTGTGGTGACGTATTCATATTGTGCCACGTCTGTGTGTTGCATTCATTGTTAAGCTTCATAGGCCCTTTCATACCTAACTTAACAAATAACTTTTACCCCCTAAGAAACCTTATCAGCTTTGACCAATCTCATATGTAATGTTTGGGGGAATCTGAAACATAATATTATTTTCTTTCAAGATTGGGAAAATTATATATGATGATTGTAAAGCTAACCATGCTTTATTACACCATAAAGACCATATATCTATATAATGGATGTACATGAAATGAGAATGTTGAGTTGAATGAGTGGGAAGAAATGACTGCATTCAAAACTCATAATAAGCAAGAAGCACAAACAATTAAGGAAAAAAAGGTGGAAATGAGCCAGAATTTTTCAGGTGCAAAGAAAAAAGGCTGCAAAGGAGAGGTGGACAAATCCAAATAGAAATTATTAAAAGGACAAGGCAAGGACAAAAGGAATATCAATCATTTTGTCACAACACCTGATAGCCTGTGATTTGAGAAAATTCATGACCGGCCTAGAAAAGGCAAAGTGGAAAAAAAAAACAAAAAAAAAAAAACATATGTGCACAAATAACCCCAACTAACTGGGAAACATCACTTCATTGAGTAAAAATGGAGTTTGAAAATAAATCAAATAACCGAAAGAAGATAAAACAAGATGAGATAGCAACTATGACGACTAATGAGACAATTAGGGAAATATAAAAGTGGTAAAAGGAAATGTAAGAAAGGAAGAAGAAAAACCACAACAATCTTTGAGTTGAATATCTTGCACTGAAATAAAGGATAAACATGACCGGTTTGAGTGCACATAAAATTTAACCTGGTCAAGCTTGTAATATCCTTCTTTGTCAGTAGTAGACCTTTCATGACCATCAACTACAATTTTTACACCATCCACTCCCGCATCATTACCATCAACTACCCGACCCCCAACAGAAAATCCAGTGACCTACATAAAAATCACAATGCATGAGGATGTAGAGATGATATCATAAAAAAACAGAAAGATAAAATGGCAGACTAAGCAGAACAATTGCAACAGCAAACTAGCCAGAGCCAATCAAAAAAATAATTATTTCAAATTCAGAAACCAAATAATAACCAGCATGATTATGCCCATTAAGTATAATGCTGTCGGATTTCTAGGAAATAAATTAGGAAATTCTATTTTTGCAAATAAAATCTAAAATTACTATTTCAGATTTTAGTAGTTCCCGTTTCTTGTCTTCTAGCCTAGAGATTTGCTGATTTGAATCATTTGATTTGCTGATTTTGTGAGCTTCCTGATTTGGTGGCCTTCCTCTACTATTTATCTTGTAATTAACTCTCTTGAAAGATATGAAGACTGATTATTTTTCTTCTTAAAAAACCTTCATGGTATCAGAGCCTTGCACTTTTTTTCTATTTTCTGATGATGTCCTATAAGTCGGCGATGACTGGCGCCCAAAGAAATCCTACCGTCTCTTCCGGTACTTCCGAAACCATTCCGCCCAATCCCACTATTCCTCCACGAATATTCCGCCCAATCCCACACCTGTATATGCCGATTACCATGTGCAGAATTCAGCCCTTTATCTCACAGTGACAAAACTCGATAGGCACAAACTATCTCGAATGGGCTCAACCCGTAAAATTGGCGATTGATGGTAGAGGCAAAATTGGGCAATTGACTGGCGAAATATCGAAACCTGCTGCTGGTGAACCCTAATCTGAAAAAATGGCAATCCGAAAATTCTCTTGTTATTGCTTGGCTCATCAATTCCATGGAACCTGCCATTAGAAAACCTCACCTATTTCTTCCCACTGCTCAAGATGTCTGGGAGGCCGTTCGAGATCTTTATTCGGACCTAGAGAATTATGCTCAAATATTTGAGTTGAAAACTCGACTCTGGAAATCCAAGCAGAATGATCACGATGTTACTACTTATTATAATGAATTGGTAACGTTATGGCAAGAACTTGATCAGTGTTATGATGATGATGTTTGGGAGAATTTGAATAACTACGCTCGCCACAAGAAGAGAGAGGAAAACGACTACATGTTTTTGGCCAGCCTTAATCGGAGTTTGGACGAGGTCCGAGGCCGCATTCTCGGCAGAAAGTCATTGCCCTCTATTCGTGAAGTTTTTTCTGAAGTTGGACGTGAGTAGTCAAGGAGAAAAATCATGTTGCGCAGCACCGAACCTAGTTTCAACCTGGAACCTGAAAGCTCTGGTCTTGTGTCAAGAGGTGTTGATTTTGACAACAGCGGGCGTAAGAAACCGTGGTGCGAGCATTGCAAAAAACCGTGGCATACGAAGGAGACATGTTGGAAGCTTCACGGTAAAACAGTAAATTGGAAGCCAAAATCCAAACGTGATGGTTGTGCCTACCAAGCCACTGCTAAAGAGACTCAGGAGCCTTCTACCAAGGAGCAATTAGAGCACCTGTACAAATTGTTTCAATCTCCAAAACTGTCCTTAACTCCGTCTTGTTCTTTGGTACCGAAGGGTAATCCTCTTGCTACTGCGTTTTTTGGTGTTGTTCCTAACCCTGTCATTCTTGGATAATTGATTCAAGCGCAACTGATCATTTGACCGGTTGCTCAAAATTCTTCTCATCCTATAGTCCGTGTGCAGGCAATAAAAAGGTCAAAATTGCATATGGTTCTCTCGGTAATTGCCGGGATAGGAACTATCAAACTCACTCCGTTGTTAACCCTCCATGATGTGCTCCATGTTCCCAATTTGTCTTGCAATTTGTTGTCCATTAGTAAAATTACCTCTGATCATCAGTGTCCAGCTAATCTCTACTCTTCTTATTGTGAGTTTTAGGAATTGACCACGGGGAGGATGATTGGCAATGCTAAGGAAAAAGATGGACTTTATTATTTTAACGATGGACCTGACTCGAGTAGACAATGTCAAAGTACTTGCTTAAATTCTGTTTCTGTTTCCAAAGATAATGATATTATGTTATGGCATTATAGGTTAGGCCATCTAGTTTTCAGTATTTAAAATACTTGTTTCCCAATTTATTTCAGAATAAAAGTCCATCTTCCTTTCAATGTGATGTTTGTCAGTTTGCTAAACATCATCGTTCATCTTTTTCCCCCTAACCATACAAACCAACTACACCATTTACTGTGATTCATAGTGATATCTGGGGCCATGTAGAACATCTACGTATTCTGGCAAAAAATGGTTTGTGACCTTTATTGATGATCACATGAGATTAAGGTAGGTTTATTTGATGAAGGAAAAATCTGAAGTGGGAACAATTTTCAAAAAATTTTACACCATGGTACAAACACAATTTCAAAAAAATATTCAAAGTATCTTGAAGTATGAAGATAAAGCAAACTCATTTTTTGATGAAAACAGCATGAATCCTTTTCATGCTTAGATTATAGTAATATTTACTAAAGATTGAAGTGCGAAGTAGTGAAGTACATCTCAAAAAATGAGGGCAAATACAGCTTAGGTAACCAATGTTTGACTTTTCTCTCTTCTCTCTCTTCTCTTTTTGACGTCGGAGTCTTCCACTCCGGCGTCCACCGTTTTTTGCCTGTCACTGGTTCTTCGTTCTCTGGCAAGGAATCGTGACATGCATCGTTCCTATCTTAGCGTTACGACCCTACCATGTCTTAATCTTCACGGGGAAATCAAAAGTTGCTCTATAGGCAATGATCTGGTTTATCGGGTTGATCATCAAAGCATTCAGGAGTGCGAATCTGTATTGCGATCATGCCTTGTTGGTCACTTTAACAGAGACGTGGGGTGTCTTGAAGGGATTGAGGCATGGGCGTCGAAAACTTGGAAGGTCTCATGTGGGGTGAAAGTATCTCCTTTACCTGATGATCTACTTTTGTTAAGGTTTCCTTCGGAGGCTGAGGCCTTAAGGGTGTTGGACGAAGGAAAGAAAAGATGGGGTGATGCTTTATTATCCATCGATATTTGGTACTTCGCCGCCGGCTGTTCTGCTGTAAAAGAACGAGTCATACGTCGAGTGATCCTGTTTGGTTTACCCCTCCATCTCTGGTGCAACAAGCTTTTTGAAGCAATTGGGAATTTATGTGGTGGATTCCGAGGAGTTGAGGCGGATGTTTCGGTTTGTGGACAGTGAATTCTTCTCTATGTATTTGTCGGGAAAGTGTTGCTGGAGTACGTTTTTGTTGAGGACCAACGAGTGGCTTACAGGGTCAACTTAATCGAGGAAATAACACCTCGTATCCTTCCGAAATCTTACTATGGCGTTGACGAGTCACATATCCCGGCTGTTGCAAATGGAGGAAATCGCCAGAAAGCACAGATCTACCATGGCGTCGAAGGAGAGAGATGTCTGCCTATGCACGCGCTTGAAGCGCGTCGAGGGGCCAATCAAGTCCTTAGTCATCGCCATATGTTCCCTCGTAATATCCGCGCTAACGGATACCAACCACGTGGCAAAGATTGTGTTCTAAATGGAGTCTTTACTGCTGTGAATTCTAATGGGCTTAGGCGTGGATCTGAATTGGGCTACGGGCCTATATTGTCATCTGGGTCGCTTGTTCAACACGGCCCACAGGAGCTGCAGAAGGCTGGTCATCGAGGGCCTCTTTATTTTAAGAACAAGCCCAGCCCAAAGTCCACTTTAAGTTATGGACCAAACAGGAGTAATATGGGGAGAAAGGTCTTAAGGGGGCCCAGAAATAAAGTTTTAGTTTCTTTTATCAACCCCAAGCCCAGCTCACTTACCTCTAAAGGAGTCAGTCACTTTCAGAGGCCTGAAGATAAATCTGTATTTTTCTGGAACTTTCCGGAAAAGAGAAAATGGTTGAAATTTTCTGGTGTAGCGACTGGTGGTGGTCCTGTCGAATTGGGTTCTGGCCATTCTCAATGTTGTGCAGACTTCTCACCGTCATCTTTCTCTAAAACTTTCCAGCCGAAAGGAAGAACTATTAGGTCTTCGCCCCGGGACCCCAACAAAAAACGTCAAGGAGTTAGATGGTCTCGAAAAGAGAAGCAGAAGTGGACCTCTACCAGTAATCCAGGTACGCCATCAGTTTCACATCCTCAGAATTTTAATGTCCCATCCTCTTCTTCTACCCCTTCTTGTGTGCTGAGGAGTGCCGGCGTTGGGCCGGAATTGGAGAAGAGTAGTGAGCTGATTGTCACGAATGATGGATCTGATTCTGGGTTGAATACGGAAGGTATGAAGGAGTGTGAGACTGTCGCTCCTAGGCAGATGAAAATTGCTGATTGTGCTGTTCAGAAACTATCTGAAGGGATTACAGTATGCGTGGGCAGAGACCTCCACTTCCAGCTGTCCAATGAAGAGGCTGTAGCTTTATTTAAAGAGCTTCGACTAAGTGTCGCTCTGAAAGGTCTTAATTGCTTGCCTCACACAAAGAATGATAGGACTGACTTTGTTTCAGATTCTGATTCTTTTTACAAAAATGATAAGGAGCTGGAAGAGGAAGTGCTCGATGATCTGGGTTCTATTCAACAGGTATGCTCCAATGAGCTTACACCTTGGGTGGAGAAGAATTCTGAAATCTTACAGGAGACACCACTAGCTATGGTGCGACCCGACGAACAGGGTGTTGATATGGGGAAAGATCGGGTAGTTGACAATATTGGAGTCACTAGTAAGCTTCGGGGAGTCTCTTCACAGGGTAATGATGTCCAGACATTATCTATCCTTCATACAATTGTGGAAGGGAGAGAAGTTACAGTGACCAATGAAGTTATTAACACGAAGCCTTTATCATCTTGGAAAGGAGTACAGGAGATAAAGAATCTCATTTCTGAAGTCAACTACGAAGGCAAAGGAGGAGTGGTGAAGGAAAGGGGAAAAACCAGGAGCAGGAGTCTCAAGAAGGGTGGAGGGGAGATTATTTTATCTGGTTTTCAATGAAGCTACGAATCATTTCATGGAATGTTCGGGGTCTTAATGATCCGAACAAGAGAAGGGTGGTGAAGGTAGCTT